TAATANTAGCCTCCAACTAATAAAAATAAATGAAAAAAAAAAAAGAAAAAAGAAAAAAAAATCAAATGGTTCTTTTAAAACTAAATTATGAAATGCTTCTAGGGGGGGAAATCTTAATTTCTTAAAGAAGAATCTCAAGGGGAAAGGAAAGCCACACTCTTGGTGGTGTTAAGTCACTTTATGCAGAACGGTTTGCGCATTTTTAAGCAACTTCGAAAGTCGGTGATGGCACAACAGCAGTTGCCATGGCAGCAAAAGTTGGTGTTATTCTCATCTACTTGATGATGAATTGTCTGGAGCTGCTTCTCAGTACAGGAAGCTATGTTCTGTGTGTGGAGTTGTTAGTTTTTGCACCATCTGATGGGCAGGAATAGGCTGAGCGGACAGTATGGAAGTCAGGGTGGAAACTGGAGCAGACATAGCATAAGATCTGAGCAGCCCTGAGTCAGAAATGAGAGAAGCCTTGGAAAGCAGAAGGCCTTGGTTTCCGTCTCTCCAACCAGCCCTTGCTAAGGACTGGACTTGGGTTGGGATGGGGAGAGTGGTGGCTACACAGAAATGTGGTAATTGTGTTAGGGGTACCACTGACTGAAACTGCCCGCCCCAGCCAGGCGCCATAGTAACCGCTTGCACCAGTTATCTTACAACAGGAGGTCCTGGTAACGAATGAGGAATTGACAAGCTACCACCAACCAGAAGACTTTGGGAAAGAACAAAAGGAGAAAGGAGACACCAGTCCAAATGTCCTCCTAGAATCCTCGCTGAGGATGAGCCATTACGGCTGAGCGATGCATGTGCCACCAGGAAGGACCCTGAGTTGGCAAGACTGGCCAGAGACAACCCAGAAACTCACCCCATCACCATAAAACCCGAGACTTCGAGCCACACGGCAGAGCAGTCCTCCTGAGTTCCCGCACCTGCTGCTCTCCACCCGGGCGCCCCTTCCCAGTAAAGTCTCTTACTTTGTCAGCAAGTGTCAGCAATTCCAAGTCCTTGGACAAGTCATTTCTGAATGAAAGGCAAGAGCTCACTCTAGGGCCCTGGAAGGGGTCCCCCTTTCTGCAACAATCATTCCAATCCCTCCAATGACTCAGTATTGTGCCCATTTCCCCTGAGGACATGAGGGTTTATGAAGGCGAAAGAGACAGGTCCAAGGTCACAGAATTGGTGGCTGAGTGAGGAACAGAATCCAGGCTCTTGCTCTCATAATGGAAGGAGCTGGCATACTGATGTGAGAGGAAATTCAGAGAAGAAACTTGTTTCCCTGGAGGAGGGAGTGGCTGATCTCAAAGTTAGGAGAAAGAATAGAATCAATATTGTTGGTGATTTTAGGTTCACGCTACCTAGAGAGAGAAAGAGATGGATGAAGAAAAGGGAGAAAGCCAATGGCATATGTGGGTGCTTCACAAGGATGGGGACTTTGTTGCTTTCATTTATTACTGGCCTTAGAGGAGGGCTGGGCACACAGAAGATCTTCAATAAAAAATGGCTGAATGAATACTAAAGGAGTTCTTGCAACAACTGAAGGCTGAAGGAAGAACACGATAGGAGTTTAACCATGTGGATTTAGGGTCTCAGTAAAGACTAAAACATCACATAAAAAGAGCTGTGAAGGACTGCCCAAGATTTATCCAAATAGATCATCTTCATGCAAGCTTTGGGAGGAATCCAGGCTAAGATACTTAAGGTCTGATGCATTTATGAAATTAAGCTTGCATTATAAGTCACTTCTATGTTCTTTCCTTTTATTCATAAGAATCTGACTGATGAATGGTTACAACACCAAAACTCAGTATCTTGGGACTTGCCACGTGCTCCAGTGGCTAAGACTCTGAGCTCCCAATGCAGGGGGCTTGGGTTTGATCCCTGGTCAGAGAACTAGATCCCATGTGCTGCAACTAAGAATTCGCATGCCGCAACTGAAAGATCTCATGTGCCACAACTAAGACCTGGCACAGCCAAATAAATAATTAATATTTAAAACCTCAATATCTTCCCAAACTCCTCCCCAGCCCTCGGGCAAGGTGCTGCCATCCACTTTGCGGCTCTATCATTGTTTACCCCGACTTGCCTCTGCAGAGGGACGTTCTCAGTATCATTACATAGAGTGATGATCCTGAAGCCAGGGAAATTAGTGCTAGTTTATTGTTGGCAGATAGTTTTCTGTGGGACTTTGACATTTCTGGCTGTCTTACAAGCTAAGACCTCTCTGCTTGTTCCAGACGATTGTTTTTCAATGATGTCTACAAAGTGAACAGCTTTAGAAGATAGAGATTGTGCTTCTGTCTGGAGCAAAGGGCAGGCATGTTTACTGACCATTAAAAGATGCTCAGGTTCCCTAAGTTCAGGGTTCCTGTCCATAAATGCAGGTGTTCCTTTCTGTCACCTTGAACTTTTTACATCATCCTGTGGAAGCAAAAAAAAAATGTTAATGGCTTTTTGAACATTCCCATTATAAAATAAAGATTTTAAGAAATCTAAATTTAGCTTTATAGATGTCTGTGTTTACTGGATTCTTTTTGTACCTAAATTAAAGGCATGTGAACACATACTTCAGTTAGTGAATAAAATGCATGGACATTTGTTTTATCAAGTCTTTAGGGGACATGAACAAAGATGTTTAGTATGTCTGTGCATGCTCTTTGCTCAGTCATGTCTGACTCTTTTTGACTCCCAAGGACTGTAGCCTGCCAGGCTCCTCTGTCCATGGAGTTTATCAGACAAGAATGCTGGAGTGTGTTGCCATTTCCCTCTTCACGGAATCTTCCTTACCCAGGGATCCAACCAGCATCTCCTGCATTAACAGGCAGATTCTTTACCTTCTGAGCCACCAAGGAAGCCCCAGTGTTTAATACAGTGTTGTTTCAAGTGACCAAGGATTGGAGGGCATCAAGGTGTCCATCCCTGGCAGAATTAAAAGGTGGTAGGGGCAGATGAACATCACGGAATGTTCTATATCAGTTACAATCAAAAGATCAGTGGTTCATATAACTACATAAATAGATCTTAGAAACATAGTGCTGAGTGAAAATAAGCAAGAAACAATGGGATTTATAACATAATACCAATAACAACACTTAAAAATACATATCTACTGGGACTTCCTTGGTGGTCCAGTAGTTAAGAATCTGCCTTCCAATGCAGGGGACGCAGGTTCAATCCCTGGTTGGGGAACTAAGACTCCATATTCCATGCAGCAGCTAGAGAAGCCCTCAAGAGATCTCTCAAGTTGCAACTAAGACCCAACACAGCCAAATACATAAATATTTTAAAAATTGTTCTGTATCTGGTTTAAAAAAGCATATCTACCAAACAGCACACATTTACAGGAACACATACATATAAACCAATACACATTAAATATATTAGAATGGTCTCCTGTGGGGAAGAAGGTAATGAGAGTGGAGAATGGGGATAAAAAGGGAGTAAAAGGAAAAAAAGACTATTTTATAATAATTTTCCCATTTCTTTTTCCTTTATGTGTACTTCGTATTTAAATTGTGCTTTTCCCCCTTCTAAATCAGGAAAAAAGCTTCCCACCCACACTATTCTAGGGAGAGAGATGAATATTCACCATCTAACTTTTGAAATTGACATTTATTTTGTGATTCAAGAAGAAAAGGTGGTGGGAATAAATAACCGGGGAATTTAATCCATAAAACTGGGAAAACAGGTTTTATTAATAAAATCTGAACTGGGTACATTCATCAGTTGGGGGGATTTATTTAGTTGATGATCTTAATTTGGATGGGGGGAGATTATCATTAGTAACTTTGCTCACTTTTATGGGAATTAAGTTTTTTTTTTCGTGTACTGTGGGTATACCTTCACCACTGGATGCAAAACCTGTTGCTCAGACATGATACTTGTGTTTGGTGGTGACTTTTGCATGCCAGTAGCAAAGGAACCCGAGTTTCCCTGGTGGCTCAGACCATAAAGAAACCACCTGCAATGCAGGAGACCTGGGTTTGAGCCCCAGATCGGGAAGATCTCCTGGAGAAGGGAATGGCAACCCACTCCAGCATTCTTGCCTGGAGAATCCCGTGGACAGAGGAGCCTGGTGAGCTACAGTCCATAGGGTCACTAAGAGTTGGATATGACTGAGAGACTAACACTTTCACAGCGATGGAACCCATGGAGCAATCCTACAGAACGATGAGCTCCAATACTGTTTTCTGCTTCTCCTGGGATTGGCCCTGCGATTTCAGCAGCCTCTGTGGCTTTTCTGAGCTGGTTCTAAGACAAGATTGTGAGCAGCACCTGGGTTCAGCTGAGCCTCCTGAAGAGGTGAGGCCTCTAGCTCAGATGGGTTTGGGGAGAGATCTCGAGCTGGCCTATGACTCAGGGCTCCCTGTGGTCTCTTTCTGTCAGGCCCTCAGAATTGGGCATCCCATTCTCGCTCTCTGGTGAGAGGTCAGTAGTCCAGAGTGAGGCAGGGAATTCACCATGAGACAGCTGGAACCCGGGACCCTTTGCTGCAATGCTTGTAAACACAAAGAAACTATATTGGACTAAAAATAACTGTGTGCATGAGCAATTGGGGCAGACTCTGGACCTAAAGATACAAAGAGACCAAAAGACCCAACTGCCACTTTTGAAGCATGTATAAAGTCACTTCAGCTGTGTCTGACTCTTTGCGACACCATGGACTGTAGCCCACCAGACTCCTCTGTCTATAGGATTCTCCAGGCAAGAATACTAGAGTGGATTGCCATGCCCACCTCCAGGGGATCTTTAAGACCCAGGGATTGAAGAGCCTGGAGAAAAAGCAGGGTGAGCAAAGCACCTAAGCCACCCCTTTGGCCCAACCTCTGGACCCACCCTTACCCTCACCCCATAAAAGGAACATCCTTACCAGCCCCTCAGGGAGCAAGCAAAGGAACCTACTATTTGTTCTCACTCCCTTCTGCTGCAGCAGGGACCCCAGCAAAGTCTCCTCTCCTGAATGTTTTGTCTGACCTCTATCAATCTCTACTGATTGGGGAAGGCCAAGAACCCTGGTGGGCAATGACCACAGGGCTTGCTGAGACCTCCTGTGGCATCTCTGGACAGCGCTGCAAGGCCGCACCATCAGACCTGCTGCTAGAAGGCTCAGGGGTCCTTTCAGTAAGAGGATGCCCTTCCAGACAGGATGCACTTACTTCTCAGACTTGCAGTGGTGGTTGCCCTAATGCACCACTTCCTCCAACTAGCAGCTGAGTGTCTCTGGGTAAGCACTCCCTCGACTTACAGAGTCAGTACATTTCAGGAGCTGCAAAGATGCATACGGCAAGTGAGTGTGCAAGGTCTGAAGTGCTAGTTCAGTTACCTATTGAGGTGTAACTCCCCAAAACTTAGTGGCTTCAAACAACAACCATTTTCATTTGCTTGAGGTTCTGAGGATCAGGAATTCAGACAGAGCACAAGTCCTTCTGCTCAAGGACCATCCTGGCATGGGTGACTGGGCTGAACAGGAAGGTCCTAAAAGGCCTCACTCACCTATCCAGGTGGTTTGTCTCTCTCTCCATGTGTTGGTTTCTTCATCTGATCTCTCTCCAGAGGATGGCTTGGACTTCCATATGGCACTGCAACTGGGTAAGAAAAAGCAGGAGACAAAAGCATTTACTTATTAAGCCTCTGTTTGCATCACGCTTGTTGGTGTCCCATTGGCTAAAGCAAGTCATGGAACCAAGCTCAGAATCAATGTGGGAAGAGACCACACCAGGATATGAGTGCAGTAAGTCCCGTACATAGGAACCTTCAAGTTGCAGGCTTTCAAGGATGCAAACGCACCCGGAGAAAGGACAAAGAGAGACAAGAGGAAGAAGAAGTAGCTGAAGAACTGAAGAGATTCACAACACAGGAAATGGCAAGGGGATTTTCTTTATTTGAGGAGGCACTATTAGCTTTTGAGACAGAAGACCCAAATGTGGAATGGTATATGAAGGTTGCAGTAGCTGTTCAGAATGCAATTCAGCACTACCATGTCATCTATGATGAGAAAAAAAAAAGAGCTACGACCTAGACATCACTGAATCATTTTTTCAAGAGGGTAGACAGAATTGTCTCCAATAAGGAACCAGAACCTGTGCCATCAACATCAGTCATGAGTGACACCTCAACTTGTCCTCTGTTGCCGATTGCTGATGACCCTTCAGCTCTACCAACTCCTACCTCCATCAGTAACTCTTCTTGTCTGTTCACTCGATGCCATCCTGTGTGCCAGCTGTTATACTATGCTACTTTATTTTCAAGGATGTACTGTAAGATTAAAAATGTTTTCTTTATTTTCTGTGCTTGATTTTTATGTATTATTTATGTGAAAAATGCAAGGAAATCAAACCAGTCAACCCTAAAGAAAATAATCCCTGAATATTCATTGGAAGGACTGATGCTAAAGCTGAAACACCAATACTTTGACTATCTGGTATGAAGAGCCAACTCATTGGAGAAGACCTTGATGCTAGGAAAGATTGAAGGCAAAAGGAGACGGGAGTAAGAGAGGGTGAGATGGTTGGATGGCATCACTGACTCAACGGACCTGAGTTTGCACAAACTCCAAGAGATACTGGAGGACAGAGGAGCCTGGCATGCTGGAGTCCATGGGGTTGCAGTCAGACATGACTTAGTGACTGAACAATATGTGAAAGATATTATAAACCTATTATAATACAGTACTATATAGCCAAATGTGTTAGTTGGGCACCCAGATTAACTTTGTTGGACTTAGGAACAAATTGGACTTATGAACATGCTCTAGGGCTGGAAACTCTTTGATATTTAGGGGACTTACTATACTAGGAGGCATAGATCTTTGGCAGTCACCAAAGCACCAGTCTACCACAAGGTCTAATTACAGCTCTTACAGCCAGGCAGGACAGCCTACGGGTACAAGCAGAGGGAACTGTTTGTCATTCTAGAAAAGTCTAGAGTTCTATCAGCTGCTAAAGAGCTCAGCCAGGTTGTGGCATGTGGCTCCAGAGTAACCAGCAGTAAGCCCTCTCTAGCCAATAAGAAACCTCTAGAACTGTGAGTGAATGAAGTTGTCCTGAACAAGCCCCAAAAGGAACTCAATCACCAGTTCCATGAGTCTGGGATGGGATCTAGGCAGGAGAGTAGGAAATGGGAGGATGAATATACCAGCTTCCTGGCCCCTTCAGGAGAGCTCCATGTCACCTCCCAGAAGTTCCTGGCAAGACTGAGTTCTGGTTGCCACAATGTCATCTGTTCATTTAATAGTTCCCATCCCTTCCCTGTTTTGCTTCTCCACTTATCTATCAGGGTTTCCATCCAAATAAGCCACTGATGCTCAAACTGGGCCTCAGGATCTGCTTCTGGGGAATTTCAGGTTAAGACATTGAGGGTTGTGGACCACTGTGTGATCTCAAGTCATTTCCAACTGGAAAAGTCTATGATGTGATCAGTGATGTGGAGGTATGGACTTGGTATCAGACAGGCATGGGCATGAGCCCCCGCACCCCTGCTCACCAATTCTGTATAGAGAGCTTCCCTTCTCCAAGATGGCCACCAACAAGGCTTCTCATCCCTGTGTCCACATGCCATTCCTCTCATCAAGAGATGAAGTCTGTTTCTCCTCTCCTTGATTCTAGGCTGGCCCCATGCCTTGCTTTGACCTGGAGGGAGAAAAAAGTGATATTCCAGGACCTCTGAGCCCAGACCTTAAAAAGCCTGTAGCTTCTACTCTTTTGCCCTTTTGGAAGCTACCTGTCATGTAAAAAGCCCTGCCACCCCGCTCGAAAAACTGGCATGGAGAAAGAGGGGCCCAGCCAGTTCCCAGTTATTTCCAGGGGGTGGGTACTGGGAGCTTCTGAGATGTCCAGTTGAAAATGTCAAAAGGACAGTTAAGATATAATTAACACTTCTGTATTTCTCTGAAGAAGAACCAGGGCCATGCCTGGCACTTTGGCTTGGGCAAAAAGCTGCGTTGTGCCATCGGAAGAGCTCACAATTGTAAACGGGCAAGGCTGTACGTGTGTACGGGTACGCGCGCGTGTGTGGTGTGTGGGCTGAGTGTTTGAAACAGGCTGTGCATTTTCCCATGCCCTCACAGGCTCCCTCCTACAGACCAGGCCTCAGCCACACCTGCCCCCGCGATGCCCAGACTGCGAAGCCATCAAGCCTCCAGCATCGCCAGGACCTCCCTCTGCCAGCAGCTAATGTAACACTTGAGCCCGGCGCGGGAAGCCTTTGGAACCATCCCAGGGTGCTAGCTTCTCCTCTAATGCGATCGTGGCTCTCCTGGAGGATGCCCTTCCCCGAGTCCCATGGAGGGGTCACTGCTCAACCTTGCACATATACCCCCTACCTCAAGGTCTGGAGCTTGGGTCACTATGCTCCGTGGCTTAGCATCCTCTGCTTCATCACACCACTGGGCCCAGGTCAGATAACCCGAAGCGGTGAGCCTAAGCCAATCACAGAGTTTCTGGTCTCTTGCTAGTGATTGGTATAGGAGTGAGCATGTGACTCAATTCTGGCCAATGAGATATGAGGGCAGGTCTGCTCAGGAGGTTCTGGGAAAGGATTCTTTGCTCCTTCTGCAAAGGAGACCCTGAAAGCTTTGGCTTATCTTTACTAATAACGGCTGGTGGGCCTGGCTGATTTGTGGAGCTTCTTGCTGCCAGCATCTTGGAATTATGAGGGACAACAATGACTAGAGGAAGCTGAGGCAGAGAGCCAGGAGGAAGCTTGATAATATGATTATATTACTGAGTCCTATTAACCTGGAAGTGAAAGACCTTACCTGCCTCCTGAGAAACCTGTACTCGGGTCAAGAAGCAACACTTAAAACCAGACATGGAACAATGCTAAGTCACTTCAGTGTCCGACTCTTTGCAGCCCTATGGACTCAGAGCCCACCAGGCTCCTCTGTCCATGGGATTCTCCAGGTAAGGATACTGGAGTGGGTTGCCATGCCATTCTCCCAACCCAGGGATGGAACTGGTCTCTTATGTCTCCTGCATTGGCAGGCAAGTTTTTTACCACTGGCATCACCAATCAGTTCCATTCAATTCTGTCACAAGTCGTGTCCGACTCTTTGCGACCCCATGGACTGCAGCACACCAGGCTTCACTGTCCATCACCAACTCCCAAAACTTGCTCAAATTCATGTCCATCGAGTCGGTGATGTCATACAACCATCTCATCCTCTGTTGTCACCTTCGCCCACCTTCAATGTTTCCCAGCATCGGGGTCTTTTCCAATGAGTCAGTTCTTCTCATCAGGTGACCAAAGTATTGTAGTTTCAGCTCCAGCATCAGTCCTTCCAATGAATATTTAGGACTGATTTCCTTTAGGATTTACTGTATGGATCTCCTTGCAGTCCAAGGGACTCTCAAGGGTCTTCTCCAACACAACAGTTCAAAAGCGTCAATTCTTCTGTGCTCAGCTTTCTTTATAGTCCAACTCTCACATCCATATATGACTACTAGAAAAAATATAGCTTTGACTAGATGGACTTTTGTTGGCAAAGTAATGTCTCCACTTTTTAATATGCTGTCTAGGTTGATCATAGCTTTTCTTCCAAATAGTAATTTCACGGCTGCAGTCACCATCTGCAGTGATTTTGGAGCCCAAAAAATATTCTCTCACTGTTTCCATTATTTCCCCATCTATTTGCCACAATGGACTGGTTCAAATTGGGAAAGAAGTACATCAAGGGTGTATATTGTTACCCTGCTTATTTAACTTTTGCCAGCACAAATATCAACAACTTCAGATATGCAGATAATACCACTCTAAGGGCAGAGAGCAAAGAGGAACTAAAGAGCCTTTGATGAGGGTGAAAGAGGAGAGTGAAAAGGCTGGCTTATAACTCAACATTCAAAAAACTAAGACCATGGCATCCAGTCCCATCACTTCATGGCAAATAGATGGGGAAATAGTGGAAGTGGTGACAGATTTTCCTTGTTAGGCTCTTGAATCACCGCAGATGGTGACTTCAACCATGAAATTAGAAAACACTTGCTCCTTGGAAGGAAAGCTATGACAAACCTAGGCAACATATTAAATAGCAAAGCTATCACTTTGTCGACAAAGGTGTGTACAGCAAAGCTATGGTTTTCCAGCAGTCATGTATGGATGTGAGAGTTGTACCATAAAGGAAGGCTGAGCATCGAAGAATTGACGCTTTTGAATTGGAGAACTGGAGAAGACTCTTGAGAGTCCCTTGAACTGCGCGGAGATCCAACCAGTCAATCCTGAAGGAAATCAACCCTGAGTATTCATTGGAAGGATTGATGCTGAAGCTGAAACTCCAATACTTTGGCCACCTGATGCAAGGAGCCAACTCACTGCTAAAGACCCTGATACTGGGAAAGACTGAGGGCAGGAGGAGAAGGAGCAACAGAGAATGAGATGGTTGGATGGCATCAGTGGCTCAATGGACATGAGTTTGAGCAAACTCCGGGAGATGGTGAAGGACAAGGAAGCCTGGCATGCTGCAGTCCATGGGGCTGAAAAGAGTAAGACAAGACTTAGCAAGTGAACAATGAAAAACAACATTAACCTGAAAGCTCTTTTACTTCTGGATGTATAACACGAGGGTGTGCTGTTTGTTTGTTACCTCTAGTCACCCTAGTGAGGCAGCCCTGGGCTTCTTTCCCACCTCCAGGGGCTGCTTCCCTGGAGGCCTCCCCTGTGCACTCAGCCACCTGTGTCAATCCAGAGGCTCAGAGTCCCCCTGGGTGTGCTACTGCCAAAATCTGCTTGCCAGGTTGAATACACACGGCAGAACAGGTGTGGGTTCAGGTTTTGGCATCACCCCTTCCTCACTGTACTGCCCTGACTTGTCTATCATCATCCTCTCTGAGCTTCAGTTTGTCTGTCTATAGAATGGGGGCAACACCTCTCCCACAGGGTTGGTAGGAGAATCAGATGAGAGAGGCTTTATACACAGTCCAGGGTAGGAGACTGTGCTCCGCTCCTTCCACCGTGATAGCCACAGGTTCTCTGTCATCATTACAGTCCCTATCTTCCTGGAAGTCCCAGAGCCTGACTGTTCCATTGCCCCATGGACACACTGGGGGGCACCGGCGTTTAGAATGGGCACCTCACAGTGCTATGAGATTCCTGCCTAAGCTCGGCTCTCTTGTCCTCTCTGTTCAATTCCGACCTCACAGACCAGTGAGAGTTATCGGTTTGATCCTGTCAACAACCAAAACAGAAACCCCAATCCAGCGACCCTGGATACAGCTTATCTTTAGAAGACACACATAGTGATGGGCTTGCTTCAAATTCTCTCTAGCAAAGGAAGGCGTCTCGGAAGCTAGATGTTGAGTCCCTCCATCCAGGTGTGTGGTGGCAGAAGGAGGCATGATAATAAACGGGGGTGGGTGGAATGCCCCCTTTGCCAAGCATAACGCTGTTTGCTAGTCGTACCTCTGCTGCACTCCGGCACATTTTGCTCAGATTAGTAGGAGCCATCATTTAAGAAAAATCTGCTCGGGGACTTCCCTGTTGGTCCAGTGCTTGGGAGTCCCCCTTCCAGTGCAAGACACAGGGGTTCAGTCCCTGGTCAGGGAACTAAGGGCCCACAAAGGGCAGGGCAACTAGGCCCACTCACTGCAACTAGTGAGCCCATATGTTCTAGAAGCACCACAACAAAGACCCTTCGTGCTGCAACTAGGACCTGATGCAGCCAAGGAAAGAAACATTTTTTTAAAAGTGCTAGGACGGCACATCCAGCACTGCCAGTGCTCCAAGCCACTCTGCGAAGCCGAGATCGTCGTGGTCCTTTTATGGATGAGGAAACAGAAGCTGCAGAGAGGGTTACTAGTTGGTCCAAAGTCACTCAGCTGCAGAGGGCCCGCCCCAAGCTCTGGTCACACCACCTCAGTCATGGACAGTTCCCATCCCTGCCTTCTGTCCCTGGCCTCCCTGGGTTCTGGCAGGCACAGCTGGTTAAAGTGAAAGTCACTCAGTCATGTCCAACTTTTTGTGACCCCATGGACTGTAGCCTGCCAGGCTCCTCTGTCTATGGAATTCTCCAGGCAAGAATACTGGAGTGTTCTTTCCACTGCCATTCCCTTTTCCAGGGGATCTTCCCAACCTAGAGATCAAACTGGCATCTTCTGCATTGCAGGCAGATTGTTTACTGTCTGAACCACCAGGAAAGCCCAAGAATACTGGAGTGGGTAGCCTATCCCTTCTCCAGGAGATCTTCCCGACCCAGGAATCGAATCAGGGGCTCCTGCGGTATAGGCAGATTCTTTACCAGCTGAGCTACCAAGGGAAGCCCTGACCCCTTTGAGACTCATCGTTGTTAAACAGACTCAGGGAACAATGCGCCAAGTGTTCCCAGGGGACCCTATGTCTGTGTTGACTGAGTCCCCACCTTGATGCCTACTTCTTAGTCTGACCTTTGCCCTGCTAAAAAAAAAATCAGAAAGCGTCTGGGACACACAAGCGGAGTCTGCCCCAGGCCAACTGTTGATCTCCATCAGCCAGTCACCGTCCCTCAAGCCTTCTAACTGGCCTGTGCTTCCAATCACACTGCCACAAGGATGGCGTCCAGCACTGGGCCATGGACTGCTCCACTGTTTGGACCCTGGAGCTCAGGCAGCCCTTCTGTCTTGTTTAAAGTCCCAGAATTTTGTTACCAGAAGTCCTCTTGAGAGTATCCTGCCTTTACTGATGTCTCTCTGTTGATATCCAGCCTCCAAGTATAAAGGCAGGAACCATCGCTCTGCAAGAAACGATACTCACCTAGATTGCTGATGGAAGAATGGTTTTTACCCATCTTGCCCACTCCTACACTGCAGAGAGGAGACCTAGGCCCAGAAAGGGGAAGAAGCACAAGGTCTCCTTGACCCAGAGTAAAATCTAGAACCCAAATCAGGTGGCAGCTAATTGATTATCAGGACATCTATTTGTGATTAGCAACTGGAATGGTTTACAGAAATTAATGCTATAAAAATGTGGGGCTAGAGCACTATGGCCAGAATGGGACTATATAGGTTTTTCACTGCCCAAAAAAAGTACCCCTTCTTCAGGCAGACCTAGCTCCTCACAAGGCAAAGGCCCAGCAAGCAGACCAAGGACCAGATTTCAGGTCCTGCTTGCCATTTCAGCTGAGCATATTTGTGCAGTGAAGCACCTGAACAACTGTACACGGCAGTCCTGCATATAGAACAGTGAAGTTATTTGCTTAAGAGTCTGTTTCTTTTACCAGAATGAGGGCTTGAAAGGGGAATTCTGTTTCATTAATCTCTGTATTGGTCCCCCTCTTGGCAAAAAGTCTGGCACACAGGGGCTCATGGAAGCTTGCTGAATTGATGAATGCATGAAAAACAAAAACAAAAATGAGTGGATAAATGATTCACTCTCCCAACTTCACTACTTCCCTTTTTAAATATTCACTTAAGCAACTCGCATCTACTTCTTAGTTAACTTTCTATAAGTTTTAATAGCATTCTCTGTATCAGGTACCCATACAACAGGGAAGCACCAACCTCTACTTGCTGTCCTTCTGACAGGAGTGCTGAGAAGATGGTTGGAAGTAACAACAGTTTTCTTATCTCCTTGGAGAAGGATCCAAGCTATTACTGGATTATTATAGATGAGATCCCCACTGTTCTCCATAAACTCATGTTTTGGAGCTTCTGTCTCCCTGGTTCTGCATTGCTGACTGGCTGAGGTTATTCTGGGCATTTCTTCAAGTGTCACCAGTAACTTAGAACTCACCAGTGACAAGCTGGCAGATTCACTTACAGAATGCAGCTCTTGAAAACGACTAATGATGCTGCGAAGAGACAGGAGGCAGGAACCAGCAGTATTTGGTCTTCGGTTTAAGGCATAAATATCTGAAAATGAGAAATTCCTTGGAGCCAGCCTCCCAGACGGAACATTTAGTACTTGGGTTACATAAAGAGCCACAGAAGTCGAGAGGTCAGGGCACAGATGCAGTAAGGTGGGGATGGGGGTGATGGGCCCCGAGAGGAATGAGCATCGCAGGGGTGGGTGGAGGGGGTTGAGGGCATGACCCAGTTTACTGTGAGTGGTGAGTGCTGAAATTCCTTCCATGTACTATCCTGTAACCCTGCTGAGGTCAGAGCACAGCGCCAGGCACTGCAGGGAGGGGGTGGGGAGGGTGGAGGGGACCTTGAATGTGGCAGAATTTTTAAAATGAGCAAATCAGTGGTACTTTATGACACTGAAGGGTTTCCCTGGTGACTCAGAAGGTAAAGAATCCACCTACAATGCAGGTTCGACACCTGGGTTGGGAAGATTCCCTGGAGAAGGGAATGGCAATCCACCCTAGTATTCTTGCCTGGAGAAACCCATTGACGGAGGATCCTGGCTGACCACAGTCCAAAGGGTCACAGAGTCAGATATGACTGAAGTGACTGAGCACCATGATACTGCAGATTCATTTGAAAGAGAAAGCCTCATAAAGCAGTATGAGAGGAATCTCCTTTCTCCTCTCCTAAGAGCCAGCAGGGCTCTCTTTGAGGTCTGCCCTAGGGCAATAGGGAGAGGCTTTTAATTTTTCAGAGCCAGACTAAGCTCTGGGCGTGTACAGATGTGAGAGTTGGAGCATAAAGGAGGCTGAGCACCAAAGAACTGATGCTTTCAAACTGTGATGCTAGAGAAGATTCTTGAGAGTCCCCTGGACAGCAGGGAGATCAAACCAGTCAATCCTAAAGGAAATCAACCCTTAATATTCATTGGAAAGACTGATGGCTGATGCTGAAGTTCCAATACTTTGGCCACCTTATGTCAAGAGCTGACTCATTGGAAAAGACCCTGATGCTGGGAAAGATTGAGGGTAGGAGGGGAAGGGATCAACAAAAGATAAGATGGTTGGATGGTATCACCGACTCAATGGATATGAGTTTCAGCAAATTCTGGGAGATAGTGAAGGACAGGGAAGCCTGCTGTGCTGTTGTCCGTGGGGTTGCAAAGAGTCGGACATGACTGAGTGACTGAACAACAACAACATATTTTGTTAGACTTACACCTGAGTGTATGGGCTTCCCTGATAGCTCAGTCGGTACAGAATCCGTCAGCAAAGCCGGAGATGCAGGTTTGACCCCTGGGCTGGGAAGATTCCCCTGGAGCAGGAAATGGCAACCCAATCCAGGATTCTTGCCTGGAAAATCCCATGACAGAGGAGCTTGGCAGGCTACAGTCCAAAGTGTCGCAAAGAGTCGGGCACAACTGAGCACAGAGGTGTGTGTATATATATATATATATATTTATGTATATACACCTAAGTGTGACCTGTCTACTCAGCTGGGCTAAGGGATGCTCAGATGGCCTGGATGTGTCTGTGATGGTGTTTCTGGAAGAGATCAGCATTTGAATCAGTAGAGGAAGCAAAGAGCATAGAGTGCCCTCAGAAATGCTGATGGGTATCATCCATCTGTAGAGGTCATGAATACAACAGAAAGGTAGAGGAAAGGTGAATTTGCCCTCTGCCTGAGCTTGGACATCTATCTTCTCTGCCCTTGGACATTGGTTCTTAGGCCTTCAGAATCAGACAGGGTCTTACACTGTTGGCTCCGTTGGTCCTCAGGGTTTGAATTCAGACTAAATTCTACCAGCAGCTTTCTTTGTTCTCCAGACTAATACACTAAGCCTCTCTCTCTCTCTCTCTCTCTCTCTTTTTTGGCAATAGTAAGTGACACTATTTTTAATCTTGTTTTTCATGTATTATTGCAATTTTATAGAAATGCAATTAATTTTTGCATATTGATCTTGTAACCTGTGACCTTGATGTACTCATTTATTAGTTCTAAGATTTTTTTCTCTTTGTAGATTCCATGGGATAGTCCATGAGACCATCAAGTCATCTGCAAATAGGTATAGTTTTATTTTTACCTTTCTGACCTATATCCATTTTATTTCCTTTTCTTGCCTTTGAGCTATGTAGGACTTACAGTACTATATTGTATTGTTCAAGTAAGAATTACTGCCAGTTCTACCACTTCCCTGGTGGTTCAGTGGTTAAGACTTCATCTTCCAATGCAGGGGGTGCAGGTCTGATCCCTGGTTGGGGAGCTAAGATCCCACATACCTCTTGGCAAAAAAAAAAAAAAGTAGAACAGAAGGAATATTGTAACTAGTTCAATAAAGACTTTTAAAAAATTAATGCCAGTTCTACACAATCTCTTCCAGAAAAGAGAACACTAACTCATTTTCTAAGACCAAAATTACCCTTATACCAAAATCAGACAAATACAGTTAAAAGAATGAAAACTACATGTCTCCTTCATGAATAGGTGCAAAAATTCTTAAAATATTAACAACTAATATTCAGCAATATATAAAAATAATAAAGGGTTTCTTCTAGTGATGCAAGGTAGGTTCAGTATTTGAAAGTCAATCAACCATATTAACAACCTATCATATGAATAATCCATCATATTAATATGCTAAGGAGAAAAATCATTAAAAATTCACATTTTAATATCAACCAATACCCCCAAAGCACTCATTTTAACATATATTTTCCTTTATGACTCGCCCACCTATTGGAGAATGGTCAATAAAGAAACCCAGAGACTTTGATTTTGAGATGTCAGAATCCTTTGACCCACTTAGGTGACCTTGGGGAAGGGTAAACGCTCTGCTAAAGACAAGATGGGTGGTGGGAAGATCCTTACATTCTGGACATAAGAACTCAGTGCCATTTTGGACTTGAGTCCCAGTGTCCATAAAGCTTGGAGGAAATTGTTGGTTCCGAGAAAGAGCACAAAGCTCCCCTTTGCTGCTCAGTGCTCAGAATTGCTTTAATTCAGTCCCCTGCAAGAGAAAGTCCATGCTTTTATTTAGGAAGCCATGTACCAAAATTCACACCAGGAAACATCAATAGAATTGGAAGGGTTTGGACAGTCTGAAGCAAAAGTCTCTTATTTCCCACATGGACCTGCGACCAGTGAACTAGCTGGTTAAAAACTGAGAGGTCCCAAGTCATAGGCAAACATCAACCCACCATGGCTAAGAAAAAACCCCCAGCAGATTCAACCTTCTTCTCTGAAAGATGGCAGATAGCAACCAGTGACCCAGAAAAAAAATATGAATGGCCCCAAAGCTCAGACTTTGTTTTGATATGACTCTGGGTTCTGCCCTCAGGTTCATGCACAAAATGGCCTTTTGTGTACCTCTGTCATATCTGTCATCCAGGGCAGACAGAGAATCCCTCTGTGAGCCTCAGAAATCCCATCCCAGGGACCAAGAGTGTTTTGTTTTGTTTTGTTTTTTTTCACAATATGTCACACCCACTGGATGTGAGGGAGGGACACAGCAGGGCAGCAATCAGCACCTGCTGCAGAAACTCTGTAGCAACTCTGAAGTTGCTGTGTTTGGATGTGACCTGCCACACACTGGCATGTAAGTCATTCCAGGTAGTCAGTTCCCCTTTCTGAGCCCTCATTTCTTTACCTGTTGAGTAAGGTTGGCAGGAAGAGGGATTCCCCAAGAAAGCCTGCCTCTTCAACAAGGGATGGTTCCAGCTTTTTTAATACTTATTTCTAATTTTTAAAATGTATCTACTTGGCTGTGCCATATCTTAGTCGAGGCATGCAGGATCTAGTTCCCTAACCAGGAATTGAACCTAGGCCCCCTGCATTGGGTGTTCGGAGTCTTAGCTGCTGGACCACTAGGGAAGTCCCCAGGGATGGCTCCAGTTTGAGCCACACAAGGCACATACAGAAGGCAAAGCCATTCCATTCACATCCCTGGTACTGAAACAACTCTGGAAACAGAAGACAAATGTCTACTGTGTTCTAGCCATAACCTTTTAGATTCATTTGTGATAAAGCTCAGTCTATACCAACTTAGACTCTGAAGCTGACCTGGGGATTCATTTTCAGTGCCTCTGGGTCATGAAAAAAAGGCTCCTCCTTCTTGCCCATGTATCCCAGTAATTGTACAAAGTGTAAGGTTTGATATATACACTACTATGTATAAAACAGATAACTTGGGATTCCGTGGTGGTCCAGTGGCTAAGACTCTGTGTTGCTAATGCAACACATTGGTTCAATCCCTGGGTTCAGTCCCTGGTCAAGGAACTAGATCCCACATGCCACAACTAAAAGATCCTGCATGCTGCAACTAAGCTTCAGTGCAGTCAAAATAAATAAAGTATTTTTTAAAAAGCAGATGACTAATAAGAACCTACTGTAGAGCACAGGGAATGCTCAATGCTCTATTCAGTGCACTGGGGTGACCTAAATGGGAAGGAAGCCCAAAAAAGAGGGGATATATGTATACGGACAGCTGATTCACTTTGCTGTGCGGCAGAGACTAACGCAACATTGTGAAGCAATAAAAATTAATTTAAAAAATATTTTTTAAAAGTGCAAGATTTGGAAGGGTGGAGACATCCTAAAAACTTATCAGATGATTATCCAATTTGGTCGCCTCAGCTATAATGAGAAATTCCCTCCTTGGTTTTTCTTTCTTTATTTAAAATACAGAAGAGTCTGATGATACTAGATTGATTTTTAGATCCATCTGAATTCCATGCCTTAAAATCCTCTCTTATTTTGGACTCTGCACAAAAAGACCCGCAAAAATCTATATGGAACCTTGGGACAACAATTCTTCATCTAATAACTCAGTATAATCTCTCCTCCAGAACATTCTAGAACAGTGCCACACAAATAAATAAACTCTCTAAATAGCTGAAGATTTGTCTCTTCTTTTAAACACCACATGGTTTTGACTGAAGCCATCTCTCAAACTTCTTTGCATGTCCCTGTCTTATTTCTTTAGTAGAGTAACTTTTTTATTACAAAAAGTAGAAAATTCAGATTTAAAAAAAAGAATACTGAAGGAAAGTGGAATCAAAATGAGAAGCAGAGCACATATGCCTCTTCCCCTCCCACTCCCCTAAAATGATTCAAAAGATCAGATTAGCTGGGCTTGATTCCAATGAAGGGGGTGGGAAATCTTTGACTTACTGTTCCTATTCCTCCACTGTCCATGGAATTCTCCAGCAAGAATGCTGAAGTGAGTCCACCATTCCCTTCTCCAGGGTATCTTCCTGACCGGGTGGCTCAGACAGTAAAGAAACTGCATGCAATGCAGGAGACTTGATTTCGATTCTTGGGCTGGGAATATCCCCTGTGGAA